AACTCCTGAGCTCAAACAGAGAGCCTCCCAGAGAGCTAGGATTACAGGCGTGAGCCACCGCGCCCGGCCAGGAATATATATTTTTGAAAGAATTAAAGTCCTTTGTTAAGCAAATCAAAGTATGGCTACAGGAGAAAAAGAAATATCTAAGTTACAGTCAACACGGATTATTTACTTAAGGTCTTATATTTTTACTTGTATATATACCATATCACAGCACAAAAACACACCCTATCTGGCTCTCTTAAGGTACAAGATAAATCAGAAAATTAATGCACATTCCTTGAGTGGCATCTTCTCTGGATGTTTGTATATTGGGTGTGGTTGTGAATTCAAGGGTTTCTTGGGTCTCTCACAAGGATTCTCCTTTCTTTTTAGTGTTTTTATTCCCTTATTTTCCTTCTACTCACAAAGAACTGACATTTTTACATTTAATACCCAATTTTCACCTTGCTCATGTCAGTTCTTTGAAATGTTATTGCCTATGAAATATGATATGCACTCTTTTAACAGAAGCAGAAGCTAAAAGATGCAGACACCACACAATTTAATTCAAGGGTTATTTTCAATATAGAAAAAACAATGATAAAAATTCAGTTGCCAACTTAGAGGATATTATACATTATGAAATGTTCTATTTTATTTCCATGGCCTGAAATTTATTTCTCATTCAAGAAAACAAATTTCATTTCTAAACGTTTATTATCTTTCTTTGCTAGAAACAGAAGAAACCATTTTCTTTTTGACAAAGTTGTCTCAAATTAGAGCACAAGTCTTCCTTAAATGTCAGTGTGTGATAATTAGGATATAGTAGCAGTCTTTAAAATTTCGTAAGGCTACTGTTAAGATGGTGGTTTTGGCCGTTTTGCAGATGGTCCATCTGAGTTAGGTCTGTTATCAATGTTATTTTCATCTTCTGCATCATCTTCATCATCACCTTTTAAAATAAATATTTGTTGTATATGTTTAGTGGTTGAAAGAAATACAGATAGCTAAAATGGTTGATAATGAGACCATTTCAATCTAGGGATTAATAAAACCATGCATATTTTAGATCAAAAAGATTTTGAGAATTTCAGTGTTTAAAATGTTTCTTTTCTATAATTTTCTTTTTTGGAGGTATTAATTCATTTACCACAAAATTCACTCTTTTAAAGTGTACAGGTTAGGGGGTTTTAGTATATCCAGTAGCTTGTGCAATTATCACCATTATCCAATTCTAGAACACTTCTATCACTCCAAAACACACTGTATCCATTAGCAGTCATTCCTCTTGACAACCACTAATCTAGTTTCCTTTTTTATTTTTATTTATTTTTTATTTTTTTGGAGATGGAGTCTAGTTCTGTCACCCTGGCTAGAGTGCAGTGGTGTCATCGTGGCTCACTGCAATCTCAAATTCCTGGGCTCAAGCAATCCTCCTGCCTCAGCCTCCCAAGTAGCTGGGACTACAGGCATGCACCACCACGCCGGCTAATTTTTTCTATTTTTAGTAGAGATGGGGGTCTTGCTCTTGTTCAGGCTGGTCTCTAACTCCTGAGCTCAAGCGATTCTCCCACACCTTGGCCTCCCAGAGTGCTAGGATTATAGGCATCAGTCACCTCGCCTGCCCGGCCTTTTCTTTTTCAAAAAAAAAAATTTTTTTAGAGACGGGGTCTTGCTCTGTTGCCCAGGCTGGACTCCAACTCCTGCTCTACAACAATCTTCCCACTGGACCCTCTGAGTAGCTGGGACTATAGGTGTGCACTGTGCCCAGGGAAGTAATCTATTTTCTATCTCTATGGATTTGCCTATTCTGCACATTCACATAAATGAAATCATATAACAGGTACCCCCTTCGTGTCTGGCTTCTTTCACTTAGCATAATGTTTTCAAGGTGTATTCATGTTGTAGCTTGTACCAATACTTCATTCCTTTTTATTGTTAAATAATATTCCATTGTATGGATATATCACATTTTGTTTACTCACACATCAGTTGATGGATATTTGTGTTTTTTCCACTTTTTAGCTATTCTGAATAATGCTGCTATGAACATTCATGTATAAGTTTTTTGTGTGTGAACATGTTTCCAATTCTCTTGGGAGGACTAGCAGTGGAGAACTGCTGGGTCATATGGTAACTTTATGTTAACTTTCTGAGGAACTACCAAACTTTTTCAAAGTGGGCACACCATTTTACACTTCCACCAACAATGTACAAGGTCTCCAATTTCTTCACATTCTAGCCAATACTTGTTATTGATTGTTCTTTTTGATGATAGCCAACATCCACATCATCAAGATCTAATTCTCAGGATGGAAAGGAAAGTCAAAGGGGTGGGGAACCTGCACCCTTAAGGCAAAATGTGGCCTTCTAGGTCCTTAAGTGCGCCCTTTCGATTGAATCCAAATTTTACAGAACAAATCCTTTTATTAAAAGGGGTGCAGCAGAGAAAGAGGAAGCTTTTCTTGTTTCCTTTGGTGCTTAAAAAAGAACAGTCTTAAAATCAGAAGGCCGCAGGTTCCCCTCCCCACCCCACCTTCTGCGACAAATTGCACTCTTCCAAACGTGTTTGTAATTTCTCGCTTGATAAAACTCCTTTTCATCCTTCAAAACCCAGCTCAAGAGTTATACCCTCTATGAAGGCTTCCTGCGTTCTCTCTGTTTGCAATAGCTACAGAGGGCCACAGAATCACATTTTCACTCTTTTAATAAGTGTTTGCCTGTCTAATCCCCTTGTGTTCCACTACGACAGGAACTGAGTCGCATTCATCTCATTCTTTCTTCAGAGCTCAGCCCAGTGCCTGGCACAGAGCAGTAGGCCTTCAGCACGTTTTTTGTGATATAAATGAGTTGTGAAAATGCCCGAGAGAAGCAGCCCGGATAAACATGACGGTGAGTGCCAATACTTTTTAGATGCAATTCTTCTTCCCCTTACGCTCACTTTCTCCAAGTCTGCCACTTTACACCGGTTCCCGAAGCAGATTTCCCCTTGGCGCCCCGCCCCGCCCCGCCCTCCTGTCGCTCCAGCACTGTCCTCAGAGCTCACCGTCCAAGGCCTCGTCCGGAGCCGCCGCCAGCCGGTGCTGCGCTTCCTGCTGTACCAGGGGGCCGAAGAGTTCGGTTACCAGCTCCCTCATCTGGGCCACTCCCGACAACAGGCCCTGTAAAGGGTCGGCGTCACCCGGTGCCTCACAGGACACCCGCAGCCGCTGCTGCTGCCCATCCTCCCCGACGTACTCTCCCAACAGCTCCATGGCGACCGCTTAGCTTCAAGAGCGCGCCAGAGAGAAGCGCTACCCGGAAGCGGAAAGTAGCCCGCCGCCGGCACAGGCGGGAGAGGGGAGAGGAGTGACTTCCGCTCGTCGGAAGTCGCTCCGCCCCCTTCCTTTGCTTTCCTTCTTTGGGATTGGTTCATGGCACTCAGGCCTCCGCCTCCTCCGGCTACGCCCCTCGCGGCTGCTTTTCCCGCCTCCGCCAGGGTAGAACCGTGGTCTGGGTGACAGTTGGGGATGGCTGGAGCTGAGGGGTCTACTGGGCGGCAGTCGGAGCTGGAGCCAGTGGTATCGTTGGTCGATGTCCTTGAGGAGGACGAAGAGCTGGAGAATGAGGCGTGTGCCGTCCTGGGCGGCAGCGACTCCGAGAAGTGCTCCTACTCGCAGGTGGGCGCGCGGCCCGGGCCTCGTCTCCCCCTAGCTCCAGCAGAACCTCCTGTTCCTGGCCGGGCTTTCCCTGTTCCCATCTGCCGCAGTAGTTCCCCAGGTGGTAGTCCCGGGCCGCCGTTCGTCCTGGCCTTCCTCATCCTAAGCCCAGCTGCCCTTTGATCCTTAGTCTTCTGGGCCCCCTTCTTCAACCTGTGTCTGGCAAGGGGCCTCTCTCCTCCCTCACTCTCTGTTCCGCCTTTTGAGGATTTGGCCCTGGAGCAGCTGCTCTGTCCTTCCTCTCCAGTCTCTTCTTGGTGTCCCCGCTGCTTTTCACGAAACCATCCCCATGACTTGTCAAATCCAGATATCTCTGCCCCTACTTTTCCCATCCTAAGAGTGTGTATTTATTAGGGACCGAATAGGAGAGTCAAGGTAGAGTCAAATGAAAGAGCTCTGGATTTGAAATTCTCCCCGTGTGGAGTGGGCTCCTTGATTACGAATTTATCTGCAATTTTAGTTTGAGAAGTGCTGGCTAGTACTTTTTTATTTTTTGCAAAACGAAGCAAGTACCATGTCTATATGAAATCTGTCCCCCCTCCTCTGGAAACAGACGGGAACAGAACAGCAGGTAGCTCTGGCGAGGGAGGGGAGGAGAGGAGAAAATGTTCTGTTTGGCATTTGGAAGATGTAGTGAACGAGGGTTTGAGGGGGTGTGATGTAGTGTTTGGTGACTCATCCTGTATTTCTAAGTACAAAAATGGAGAAAGGTGGGCAGGAAGAAAACTAACAAGGGTTGATTGGTAGGAGGGAGAAGGTTTTCTTAGGCAGGGGGATGGAGTGGAACACTGGGGCATGAGGGGAGAGACTTGGCATTCATTATGTGGTATGAACTGAGATCATAATAACCAGTTGTCGTTGTTGATCACGTTAGTTTAACCTACAAAGTGGTTAGATTATTGAATAAACTTGGTATCCAGAAATAGTCCCAGATGTTGGCTGGTATTTTAAACCTTTGGTCACCACTAAAACACCTTTTCCCTGTTTCCCTTAAAAAAAGAAGAAGAAGAAGAAGTAGGCCTGTCTATATTTAAGCTATTTTTGAAATATAGTTAGCTTTATAAAATGGACTTCCTTAAATTTACTTTTTTTCAGTGAAACATGGAAGTTTGCATAGATCATGTGTACAGCTTGGGGCTTGGGAAAAAAGTGAACACATGCATATACCCACCACCCAGATGAAGAAATAGAACATTACTGGTATCCCAAAAGCCTCCCTGTGTGTCAACCTCCTTCCTATAGTAGAGTAACCATTATCAAGATTTCTAGAAGTTTTGCCTGTTTTTCCTTCAGCTTTTCATTTTGATACATTTAAAATCTATGGCTAAGTTGAAAGAATAGTATTATGAACACCTGTATATCTTTTACATGTATTTACTTTTTTAACATTTTGCCTCATTTGTTTTCTCTCTCTCCTCTATATAATACATTTTGCTTTTATTAAATTTTGAACTATTTGAAAATATTGCAGACATGATGACAACGCAGCTCTAAATACTTCAGCATGCATCTAAAAATCAAAGAGAGTCTTTTCACATATTGATTTTCTCTTTGCTCGATTTATAAACATTTTCCAAAATTAAAATGTATTACTTACATAAATCTATACACATTCTCCTACATTTTCATATGTTAAAATGATTAAGCAGACAAACTCATAGCTGATTGACAAATTTAAACTTCCTTTCACTTTAAGAAAAAATAGTATGAAAACAAGTGCCAGTATAGATATGAAACTTTCAACAGTATTTTAGTACTCTGTTGTTTATACCTTTTTTCTTTTTCTTTTTCCCCTGCCAGTATCTGTGTATCTTAAGTTTATACTTTTTTTTTTTTCATTTTTTTTTTCACCCGCTGCCTTCCTCCTCTCAAGTTTATACTTTTTGAATAGGCTTAATGACTTTTACAGAAAGATCTTGACCACAGATAATCTGCTTTTAATTATTTTTCAGATCGTAGTATGGGTATTAAATAACTCTGCTGTTTCATTAATTTATTCTCTCTTTTCCATTTTGGGGCTGTCTTTTAGGGCTCAGTAAAGAGACAAGCACTATATGCCTGTAGTACCTGCACCCCAGAGGGAGAAGAACCAGCAGGAATTTGTCTAGCTTGCAGTTATGAATGTCATGGAAGTCATAAACTATTTGAGCTCTACACAAAAAGGTAAACATGCTTTTTTTCATTCAAAGTAGTTGTATATTAGTGATTTTTTTTTTTTTTTAAGAAATGGGATCTCGCTCTGTTGCCCAGGCTGAAGTGCAGTGGTGTGATCATAGCTCACTGTAGCCTTGAAGTCCTGAGCTTGAGTGATCCTCCTGTCTCACTCTCCCAAGTAGCTAGAACTATGGGCACATGACACCATGCCTGGCTAATTTTGAAAATTTTTTGTAGAGACAGGGTCTTACTATGTTGCCCAGGCTGGTCTTGAACTCCTGGGCTCAAGCAATCTTCCTGCCTTGGTCTTTCCAAAGGGATGGCTGGGATTAAAGGCATGAGCCACCACACCCAGCCATGGAATTTATTATTTATTTATTTATTTATTTTTGAGACGGAATCTCACTCTGTTGCCCGAGCTAGAGTGCCGTGGCGTCAGCCTTACTCACAGCAACCTCAAACTCCTGGGCTCAAGTGATCTTCCTGCCTCAGCCTCCCGAGTAGCTGGGACTACAGGCATGTGCTACCATGCCCAGCTAATTTTTTCTATATATTTTCAGTTGTCCAGTTAATTCCTTTTGATGTTTTTAGTAGAGATGGGGTCTCACTCTTGCTCAGGGTGGTCTCAAACTCTCGAGCTCAAACAATCCACCCGCCTTGGCCTCCCAGAGTGCTAGGATTGCAGGCGTGAGCCACCGTGCCCAGCCCCAGCCATGAAATTTAATGTAATTATTTTATATACTATAACTGGAGAGAATAGTTTTTCCATAGGGCCTTTTAAAATGTAATTATGGTACAAACTCACTACTCATCCTCTGCCATTATTTTACTTGTGTGTTTGTGTGTTTATAACATAGATATTTGACTTTATGCATATTAATTTCCAGAATTGTAAAAATCTTTTATTGTTATATGCTTGAAGAAATTCCAAATTGGATACATGAACAGCAACCAAAGCTACTTTTTCAATTCTAGAAATGAGTTGAAAAAGGAAGAGGCTATGATTTGAGTTTAAAGAGCATTTCATTAGATTTAAAAGTGGCTTTTCCTCCTTTTTTCAGAAATTTTCGTTGCGATTGTGGAAACAGCAAGTTTAAAAATTTGGAATGCAAATTATTTCCTGTAAGTAAGCACTATAACTATAAATGTATTTAAAAGAGATGAGGTTGATATTTTCCAGAGTGAGTAAAAAACAAATACCTGTATTTTCCGAAAGAGAAGTTCTTATTCTTTGCAGATGGAAGATATTTCTTTTTTTTTCTTTTGTCGGAAAAACGAAATATCCCTTTCAGAGCCTGTACTATAGATTGTAGTTAATATGAAAGGTTTGGGGGAAAATGTTTTTTAAAGTGATTCAGGTTTAATTATGTGGTTGTGCTTATTTGCTGAGGCTTTTAAAACAAAGGATATGATTCAAAACTGAATAAATAAAACTTGGTAATAATGAATGTGGGCTACAAATGCACAGGACTTTTTCACAGCTTTTTAGCTAATAAAAACTATGCTTATACAATAACTTTTAGTGAAATAACAGAAATAAAAGAGAAAGAAATGTTACATTGTTCAAACATAGTTGCTAAAGCTGTCATCCTTTCCCCTTCTTTTGAAGGTTAGTTTTGAACAACTTTTTGCTGTCTAGTAACCTGGGGGTCTTGGTTCTCACAGCTGTTTGTAAAGAAGTACTTTGAAATTCCAAGCCAGTATCAGTTCACATAGTTTGATAATTAATATTTATGGTTAACTTTTATCTCCATTTTATTGAATGGATATATTTAATTTCCTCTAATTGCTACAAAAAATAAATTTTAGTTTTTTGTATCCTGGAAAAAGTATCCCTTTAATAGGAGTAAATTTTTTTTCTTCATACTTTGAAAATTAAAGACCAGCTTCTAGGGAGAAAATACTTAGTGTAAAAATTTATTGAATGCAGAAATTTTATGATGTATGAAATTACAGTTAAAATTAGACCACATTATATATTGAAATCAATATTATATTTCAGGACAAAGCAAAGGTAAATTCTGGCAATAAGTACAATGACAACTTTTTTGGATTGTATTGTGTTTGCAAGAGACCCTATCCTGATCCTGAAGACGAGGTAAGAGAATCGGAGTTTAAAACCTGGGATTGTATGTGTGATCTCTAGCCTTTAGCCTTGACTCTTCAGCCTATTCCTCTCATTCTTATATCATAAGAATGAAATATTGAAGAGGCCCTTGCCAAGGCCACAACTTCTTTCCTTCTCCCTCTTTCCTGTCTGCCTACCCCACCCCCTAAACACTTACTAAGAAATGACCTTCTGCTTCTTGCCTCCCTTGAAGGAAAGAAATGGGATTTACAAACTACATCCCCTGAAAAATTTCAAGTACCTCCTGCAGATCATATTGGGGAAAAAACTTTCCATTAGAAATGTATGCAGAATTCGAAAAGAGTTCCTCTGTACTGCTGCACTTATTACTTTCCAGGCATAACCATTGTTAACACTTTTTGGTGTGTATAATTTTAGGCCTTTTTCATTGCACATAAAAGTAATCGACTGTGTGTTTTAATGTGTAGTTTCCTTTCTTTTAATGAAAGTGAAAATTCTGTACATTCACTTCTGCAGCTGGCTTTTCTCACTTACCAGTATAAGGGCAGAAAAGAGAATAAAACTGCTTTGTGTGTGTGTGTGTGTGTGTGTGTGTGTGTGTGTGTGTGTGTGTACGTATTAGTAGATATGAAAACCTGAGAATAAAAGGAAAATCATAGTCTGTG